TTCGAAGGCTTTTCTTTCGACCGATATCTATAGAGCGTACTACTTACTCTAGTTTAAAGAGGTAGACCGGCGTATAAGAACTAACTAACTAACTAATTATAAGGTTTATATCTCTAAGGACGTAAAGTTTATTAAGAATAACTTTACTAGTAAGGTTAAGAATTATAACGATTTAGAACCTAACTCTAACGCTATAATTCCGTTTAAGGAGCTATTTATTATCTACTATAACCTTAAGGAGAAGAACTCGGAACTACTACGTATCGTTAACTAGTATATCGTCTATATTATTAATTAGCTAGAGTTTAAGGCTAATAACTATAATATTAAGAGAGTACTATATAAGCTACTTAATCTACTACCTCTTATTAACGACTTACCGTAAGCTTAGCTAGCGCCTATACCGGCAGCCGCTACTATAGAGTTATTAGAAAATAAGTTTAAAGACGCTAAAGCGATACCTCTACCTTAGCCGCTAGTATAGCCGCGTCGTTCTAAGCGTATCTATAAAGCGCTAAACTGTCTATACGATTAATATACTAAGTTCGCGATTAACGATTTAATTACCGATTAAAGCTGCCGTATTAAGTTACTACTATAAGTAGCTTAGCGAGCGTTTACTATCTCGGTCTAAGAATTATAAACTAGCAACCTACTACCTAAGCTAAAGAGCTATAAGTAGGTAATATAGTTATTAGAATCCGCTATATAGTTAAAGGCTAAGATAGAAGAATTAGCCGCCTTAACTAAGAATAATATATAGACTATTATTCGTACTAAATTAGGTATAAATATTATTAAGGGCCGCTAGGTCTATCGGCGTAAGTTTAACGCTAATAGTAAGCTATTACGCTATAAGGTATAATAGGTTATTCGTAGTTTTACTTAGAAGGCTAGTATTAACTACGACGATATCTATACTACTATAGTTAAGCTATTATTATTGCGACTACTATACGCTATACTCGCTTATTACGGTATTAAATATAAGTAGTACGATATTATTATAGCGTTTCTTAATATAGCTATTAAGGNNAAAGATTTACGTCGAACTACTATATAGCTACGAGTAAGAAGGTATAGTATACCTTTTAAATAAAGCTCTATATAGTCTTAAGTAGTTACTACTATTATAGTATTAAGAATTATATAAGGTACTAAAAGCCTATAGCTTTAGACTAATTAATAGCGATATCTATATCTTCCGGTATACCGATAAGCGTTACTAGATTATTATCTATATCGATAATATATTAATTATTACGTCTATCTATAGTAAGATTAACGAGGTAGTAGCGTAGCTAAAGGATAAGTTTAAGATAAGAGAACTCGGTAACCTCTATTACTACCTTAGTATACGTATTATTCGCAATAAGAAGAAGCGAACTATCTATATCGTTTAAGACGTATATACTAAGAAGCTAGTAGATAGCTATAGAATTAACGAGCCTACGCTAGTAATACTAATAGAAGCTCGTTACTATTATAAGAAGGCTCTAGATAGCTATACTACTATAGTATTAATTAAGGAAGCGTATTAGAAGCTAGTCGGCGAATACCTCTAGCTCGCTATAAATACTTATATTAAGATAGTATACTATATTAGTTTACTATATCGATTCCTTACTAATCTAATATAAGGTTACTACGACGCTACGTTCCGCGTCCTTAGGTACCTAGTTAGTACTAATACTCGTAATATTAGCTTTAAAGTTAAGAGCCTTAATACTAATACGTATAACCTCTAGTTAGAAGGTTATATTAATATAGTATAGTTAGACTATTTAGATAATAGGAAGTTAACTAGTAGCTATA